AAGTGACAATGGTCACCGCCAAATTTCTTACTGATTCACAATAAGTTGGGTGGCGTAAAAATCTCCAGAAGTACATGTTAACTGAAACAGAGACATGGTCCTTGTGAGTGAATAGAAACATTTTAATTCTATTTTAATACTTGTCATCATGCATATTATCATATGTTATGTGCATGTGTCTCTACCTCATTTGTGAGCTCCAGAAGAGCATGACTCTGTTTTGTAAATTTTATTATTTTTTTTTGGAGAGGTTTTTGCTATAGGGCGTGTGCACTCACCAGACAGACAGAGAGACAGAAAGCGAGAAATCACCCCCCAGGTGAGATGGTCACGCCGCAATCCCTTCTCCTCCATTCTTCTCGCGGGATCTTGGGCATGCACGCACACTCGCCCAGCAGTGAGTTTAAGCCACTGGGTCTGGGACTCAAACCGCGGTGGACTACGTGGGAGTCCAGCGACATAGCCGTTACGCTAACTGCTGGTCCCTATTTTGTAAATTTTTGCCCCTGTACTTAGCACCTATATGATAATCAAAAGACATTTTTCTTTTTCTACAATATAAAATGTACATTTTCATTTTAAAGTAAAGAAAATCTGTGCCAGCTGGTGGCATAGTGGTTAAAACAGGATTCCCACATGGCTGACCACCATTTGAACCCTGAACCCAGTGACTTGAAAATCATGTAGAGCATGGGTGTGTGCATGCCCAACATTTTAATAGGACAATGGAGGACAAGGGATTGTGGTATGGCCATCCACCCTAGGATGTGATTTCTCATTTTCCTTCTCTCTGTCTCTCTCCTGCAAGCATATGCGCCCTATAACAAAAATCTAAATAAATAAATAAAGAAAGAAAGAAAGAAAATCTTTAAAGCATGGGAGCATAGGCAATAATCACACCTAATCTCTCATGACTTTAATGCAGTTATTTTTATTTCTTCACATTGTTTTCAGTTATTAATTATAAAATTTATATATCACTGGCATTTGAGGGATTCACTTATTCACTTATTCATTCAGTCAAAAATAAGCATCTATGGCACATCAGGTACTAAGCTAGATGCTGGTAATGAAATAGATGAGCCCGATGGCTAACTCAGTCAGCTTGCATTAAGGGACATCTAGAGAGCTGGTAAAGCTTGATTTCTGGATGTATCTGGGAGGGGGTGTTTCCTGAGGAAATTGGTGTGTGTTAGTGGATTGAATGGGGAAGATCTGCCCTTAATGTGGACAGGTACTTCCCAATCAGTGGGACTCCAGGTGAAACAAGACAGCAAAGGAAAGACAAATGCTCTTGTTCTAGAACTGAGAAACTTCTCCTGCCCTTGGATATCAAAACTCCAAGCTTTCCAGTCTTTGGACTCCATGACTTGCCCCAGTAGCCCTGTGGGTTCTTAGGCCTTTGGCATCAGATCATATTACACAATTCCCTTCCCTGTTTCTGAGGATTTTGGACTAAGACTGAGGCACACTACTGGTTTTCCTGGGCCTCCAGCTTGCAGAAACTCTGTCATGGAACTTGGCCTTCATAATTGCTTGAACCAATTCTAATTAATCACCTCTTGTCTATCTATCTATATCTATCTATTTATCGTATTTGTTCTGTCTCTACAGAGAAACCTGATACAATCGGTAAAAGACATGTAATTTCTACCTTCCTGGAGCTTATGAGTAGTGGAAAAGACTAACAGTTATCAAATAATTACAAATAAATGTAATATTGCCATTTTGATAAGTGACATATGGCTATGGATATAATTGAAAGATTTTAACCAGTGTAGAAATCAGAGATGTTGAAGAAATAGTGAATGAGCAGAGATCTGAACACTAAATTATATGGAAAAAAGAGCATTTCAGGAGAGAGAAACCTCATGGTCATTGCATGGAATGCCTTCATAACAGAAGGCATTATTTCATTGTATCATTGATGAATACTTTTCTTCCAATTCAGATTTCTTTCTCAAAAATATCAGATTTCTACATTGGTGCCTTAGTTCATTGTCTAAGTTCTTCTTTCACAATTTACCTCTGTCATTTTCTGCCACATTTTCAGAAGCAACTTCATCACTGATTTGATTTTGGGACCTTTTAATTTATTCTTACATTATTTTACTTCCTTGAAAAAATTCCTCATTTTATTAATCTCACTATTGAACTTATACTCTTTTCCCTTTATTCCTTAATATTCCTGTTTAATAAATGTCACTGGATTAAGAACTGACATTTTTTTTTGAATCTCAGATTTTGCAGTAAATCAGATAATCTGATGTATATTTTTTAATGTTCCTTTTGTCTTCACTGTATATATCACATTTATAAACATAGGTTTATTCTTACGATTTACAAAATTTTAGAATTTAATCTTGTCAATTAATGTGTAAGCTTTATAAGGAGTATCCTTTGTCATTTTTTGCTTATTCACCTGTTTCATTTTGCCTGACAGATATTTGACAATCATTTTTATATAAAAAATCAAGATGTTACTTTTATTTTCTTTGCAGTATTTAAAAATAGCTCCATTATCTTTTTTCTCTTTGACTTTTAGTGAGAGAAGATCCCATCAGACTTACTGTGTGGCACCCACTGTTACAGCATGTGGATTGTTTGTTCCTAAATTTTTGTTGGTGTGATTAATGAATCTTTACTCAGTTCTGTAGCCTGAGGATAGTTTGGTTTGTGTAACTTCTGGGCCAATTTCCAGTTTTTAGCTACAAGAATTCATACTTCCTGACTCTGCTATACTCATGTGGACCTTCTCCTGTTTTGCACCTTGGTTTTCAGTCTTTCAAAGGGTTCTACCATCATATGTGATATTAGTTTTAGTAGAAATGTCCAGGCTACATCACAGATATTACTAATTAGAATCTATGTATGAATTATAAGATTGTATTTATTTAAAAACAATTCATAGGTGATTCTAATGGAAAAAAGTGAAACAATTGAAAATAAAAATCTATAATCTTTAGTATTCATTTTAATACAGCCGCTGTCATTAGAAAATACAATATTCAAATATTTATTCACTCTACATTTTATCCTGATTATAGAGAGATGAACGTTACTGTTTTATGTACCAAAAACAAACACACAAGGGGCCTGCAGGTAACTTGGTGGTTAAGGGCTCTGGACTTCCACATGACCGACCACAGTTCAAATCCTAGACCTGGTGGGACATTCTCACTTTCCCTCTCTCCCTCTGTTCCTCTCTGGTCAAATTAAAATTAATAAATAAAGTTAAATAAAGTAATTCTTTCAAAACAAACAAACACATGAACAAAATTATGCAGTAGGATGACAGTCAATATGCTATCAAGACTTCACTTCTCCCAGAGAACAGATGAGGTAAATATATATTTTAAAAATGATCTTTGTTTTCAAGCAAGTCACTTTTTAAACATCTATTTCCCTGGGTCCTATAAAAACTTAACACATGCTGTCATATATTGTTTTATAATCATAGTTTGTACATTTTTTATATGTCTATTTCTTCAGCAGTATTTTCTTTTTTTAAATTGCCAGAGGATGCATATGCTTGTCAGAGAGCGAAGAGAGAGAGAGGGAAAGCGAGAACCCCCACTTCTGGGGGAATGGTCATGTTATTTCTTCTCGTCCATATTTCCCTCTTCTGGGGACTTTGGGCACACACATACAGACACACACACACACACACACACACACACACCTGACATGTTTCTCAAGCCACTGGGCTTGAAACTCAAACTGTGTCATCAGCCATGTGGGTTCCACTCACCTTAATCAACAGGCCAGTGGCTGACCTCTTTAGCAGTACTTTAATGGAAGGCTGGGAGAAGATGCATCAGTGTTGCTAATCAAACACATTTCAAATGATAAATTAATGAAGTCTGCGAAATATATGACAAGATAACAGATATGGAAACATAAGTCCTCCAGCAGACCAGGTTTGACTTGAGCAACATGGTCTAAACTATTTTTGTTTTTTAGACGTCAGCCTTTTTTCCTTATTTAGGCTCTTAATATCTTCTCTCTTTTTTCACCTCGATCCATTTTCTTTTTCTTTTTCTTTCTTTTTTCTTTTCAGTACACATACCAGTCATCTTTTATTAGGTGTGAATTCTCAACTGACATATGAAAGGACTCCACAAGTTTTTTTCTTGGAGGGATGCTAAGCCAAGGTGTTGGGGTCTGGTTCAGTGTATGCCCTCCATGGTGGCCCCATTCTTGTGTTGCTGCTCTTATTTGGGCTCCTTTTAAGAAAGGCAGTAGCTAAAGAGCACAGAAGTGGCCAGCACCATAGAGGAACTGCCAGGCTGGATATTGATGTGGAATTTTACCCCATTTTATTAAGAGTTACAATTACCCAAGCAAATACTTATTTTTCTAGTACACGCTAACCATGCCATTCACTTTGAATTTGTCTGAACTGCATATGCTAATCTTAACCACAAATGCATAGCTCTACCTTAAAAACGAATAAACCTATTTCTTATTTTTAGCTTATTTCATTATAAACTTACAGGCTTATTTATTGGAGAAGATGCATCAGTGTTGCTAATCAAACACATTTCAAATGATAAATTAATGAAGTCTGCGAAATATATGACAAGATAACAGATATGGAAACATAAGTCCTCCAGCAGACCAGGTTTGACTTGAGCAACATGGTCTAAACTATTTTTGTTTTTTAGACGTCAGCCTTTTTTCCTTATTTAGGCTCTTAATATCTTCTCTCTTTTTTCACCTCGATCCATTTTCTTTTTCTTTTTCTTTCTTTTTTCTTTTCAGTACACATACCAGTCATCTTTTATTAGGTGTGAATTCTCAACTGACATATGAAAGGACTCCACAAGTTTTTTTCTTGGAGGGATGCTAAGCCAAGGTGTTGGGGTCTGGTTCAGTGTATGCCCTCCATGGTGGCCCCATTCTTGTGTTGCTGCTCTTATTTGGGCTCCTTTTAAGAAAGGCAGTAGCTAAAGAGCACAGAAGTGGCCAGCACCATAGAGGAACTGCCAGGCTGGATATTGATGTGGAATTTTACCCCATTTTATTAAGAGTTACAATTACCCAAGCAAATACTTATTTTTCTAGTACACGCTAACCATGCCATTCACTTTGAATTTGTCTGAACTGCATATGCTAATCTTAACCACAAATGCATAGCTCTACCTTAAAAACGAATAAACCTATTTCTTATTTTTAGCTTATTTCATTATAAACTTACAGGCTTATTTATTGTGCCATCATAAGTAAAGAACGTGAGACTTCTCAATAAAAGGATCAGGAAATACCCCAAATAACATATTACTAGATCAATATAATGTTGGTTGGAAATACATCAATAGAAGCTTTCTTTTTTTTTCTTCCTCTCCCCTTAAATACATGTTTCACTGTTCCAGTAGAGGGTACAAGATATTCATTATTACTTAGGTCTCTAAATTTGCTTCATCCATGACTTTTCTTCCATTTTCCAATGCTTTAGTATCATTTCCTTCGTATTTTCTCCTCATGAGAAAAATTGTTGCAATAAGTAAAAAAATTGGTGGAAATCTAAAGGCTGAAGATAAGCCCCAGACGGTCTTACTATGAAAAGAAAAAGAAAGAAAAAAGAGTGCATTATCACTTTAAAGTGCATGGAATAATTTTCAATAGTTTTCTCTACTATATGGACCTTAAAGGAAACAAAGTTATGCACAGAAATATCAAGGCAGCAATTCTATTGATTCTTCTCATTGGGGGCATAAGAAGTTTTTGATTATTTTAAAAGAGTTATAAAGCCACAAAATCCCAATTCCAGCTGGCTCCAGCTTTCCTAGTACAGAAAGGAAAATACACAAAACACAAAGAAAATACACAACTCCAACCCGCTTAAGCTATACCGTCTTGCTTATGGGAAAAAGAAAGAACTGAGAAGTATATCCAAAGTTCACAATCCAGAGGGGCAGGCTCACTAAAACACTGAGACCTAGTCATGGAACTATAGGATACAGCTCTTTTTGGGGAATTTTACAGCACATTATTAAAGGTTTATTTATAGCAGTTCCTTTTACCTGATACATTGTTAGGACTAGCTGTCCAGAAAAAAATGACAAGTCATAATAAAAGTTAAAAAAAAATGGTTTAAAGAGAATGAGCAAGTCTCAAAACTAGACTCATTTGTCACGGACGTTGGAATGTTCAGAAGGGAATTTAGAACAATGATGCTAAGGCTCTAATGGACAAAGTACACAGCAGGAAAGAACAGATAGGCGACGTATGCAGAGAATCCAAACTTTTAAGAAACAAAAAAAATGTGTTCTGGAAGTTGAAAGCCTAACACCTGTCTCAGTGGGCTAAAATTGAGGTTGGTTGGGCTGCATTACTTTCTGAACACCTAGGAAAGAGTCTGTTTCCTTGCTTTTCCCTTGCTTCTAGAAGCCACCTGTTTTCTTTCACTCCTGGCTCCTTCATCCATCTTCAAAGCATCTAAGTTCTTCTTACATTGCATCACTCTGATCTAGTCTCTCTCTTCTATTTTTGAGATTCTTGTGATAACACTGAGTCTGAAGTCAGCTGATTAGCAATCTTACTCCATCTGCCACCTTTCCTTACCATGTTTACATGTTCCAGGGATTAAGACATAGACATTGGGGGGGGGCATTTTGCTGTTATGGTAATAACACCAATTCATAGAACTTAGAAGCTCCCTGAATCCCAAAGCAAATAAAAATAAATCTACTGCAGCCATTCCACAGTGAAACTGCTGAAAGCTTAAAAGAGAGGGAAGTTATTTAAAGAATTCAGAGAAAGAAGACAGGTTACCACAAAGAAACAAGAGAAATAGACAACAGGTAACTTAGCAACAGCAAAAATGGAAATTAGAAACAACAGAATGGTGCCTTCAATGGCCCAAGAGAAAATAATTGGCAATTTAGAAGTCTACCCTAGAAAGATGTGTTTTTATATAATTTCTTTTTTTAATATTTTATTTATTCATTCATTTATTTTAAATTCACTAGACACACACACACACACACACACAGAGAGAGAGAGAGAGAGAGAGAGAGAGAGAGAAAGTGAGAAAGCAAGTCACCAGGTCCAGGATTGGAACCATGATCGGTCATGTGGGAGTGTCCAGTGCCTTAAACACCACACCACATGCTGGTCCCCTAGAAAGATTTTTTTGAGTATAGGATTGACATAAAGATATTTCCAGAAAAATTAAAAGTGTCAATTTGCAACTAAAATACCTCATAAGAGGTTTTTTTTTCCCCAAAAAGAACACCAAACTGCTATTCCAGTCAGAAGATGTGTGACCCTACATAGAATCTGAGATATACGAAGTGAAGAGCAGAGAAAGTTATGAATATGAATACACTGACTTAATAATAATAATGTCTGGTGAAACTGAGCTAAACTAAAAGTACCCAAGAATTCTATACATGCACACACACAAGAACATGAGCCTGAGGGAACTTCAAAAATGTTATGGAAAGCTAGAATTGAAATATGAGTTTATTTTGTTGCAAAAAGTTTTAAAATCCATGCAGGTTATTTTTATTTATTTATTTTGAGATGTTTTAGCTTTAGGGCACGTGCACTTGCCAGAAAGACAGAGAGACACAGAGAGACAGAAAGCAAGAAATCACCCCCCAGGGGGGATGGCCACATAGCAATTCCTTCTCCTCCATTCTCCTGTCAGGATCTTGGGCACGCATGCACACATGCCTGGAGTGAGTTTAAGCCACTGGGTTCGGGACTTGAACCACAATTGACCACATGAGAGTCCAGCAACATAGCCATTACACCAACTGCTGGTCCCTTTTTTGCTGTTTTAAGTGGGATTTTTGCAATAGGTTCCATATACTAGCCAGAGAGACAGAGAGATAGTAAGTGAGAAGTCACCCTCTGGGGGGATGGCCACACTGCAATCCTTTCTCCTCCATTCTCCTCTCGGGTTCTTAGGCAACACACGCACATGTGCCTGGCACGAGTTTAACGTCTCCAGGTCCGGGGCTCAAACCACGGTTGACTATGCGGGAGTGCAGTGACGTACCCATTACACCATCTGCTGGTCTCCATGCAGTTTTTTTTAATATGCATTTTCTGTGAACTTTTAAAGATGTATATATATGCATGTATATATTATAAGACACTATATAGAACATATATATGTATATATACATTATATAATATACGCTATTATGACTACTATACCATAAAGAAGACCCTTGTTTAACACCATTATTATACAACATACAGGGTCTTCTTTATTTCAGTACCATAATGTTTGTTTAACGACAGGAATTAGTTATCAATTTAACATGAAAATTAAAAAAAATTCCATTATAATTTTACCTAAATCTTCACTGAGGGACAAGAACTTGTAAGGTTTAAAAGAAATGGTTCTAGGGGTCTATTTATACTGAAGTCACAAAAGAAAGCAACTCAAAATGTTTTGTTGATACTTGGGCTCCATGGTCTATGCTTTGAGAAAAATTCTGAGGAATGTATTTCCAGTGTTCCTGGAAACAAACAATGATTAATTTAAATTTTTTAAATTAAAAATTTTTGAGAGAGAGATTTTTGCTATAGGGTACATGCTCTCGCCAAGAGTCAGAGACAGAGAGACAGAAAGTGAGAAATCACACCCTGGGGGGAATGACCATGGTACAATCCCTTCTCCTCCATTCTCCTCTCAGGATCTTGGGCACACACGCACACGTGCCTGGCATAAGTTTTAAGTTGCCAGGTCTGGGACTCAAACTGTGAGTTATGACATGGGAGTCCAGTGATGTAACCATTACGCCATCTGCTGATCCCTTAAATTAAATTTTTAATTAAAAATGCTCTCTTAAAATAATAGAGGGCATGGCGTCAGCAAGTGGCATGGTAATTAAGGGGCTGGACTTCCACATTGCTGACCAGGGTTTCAGACTCAGAACTGGCAGCTTAAAAATCACACCAGGGGCATGTGTGTGCTTGCCCAAAATTCTGAGAGGAGGGAGAAGGAAATGCGGTGTGGCTACCTCGTCTGGGGAATGATTTCTTACTTTCGCTCTCTCTGTCTCTTTGGTGAGCACATACATCTTGTGGTAAAATTTAATAATAATAATAATAATAATAGAGGGCATCAATATGCTATGGTCCCCTCTGACCAGTCCTCCAGCTCTTCAGGATCCTGGACTCTCCTGTATGCTATTTAAGGCTGACCCAAGATCTAACTGAAGTCATCATCTGGGTTCCAGCACTACTTATGCTACTTATACTACTTATACTTCTACTTATACTACTTATACTACTTATGCTATTTATACTACTTATGCTATTTATGCTACTTATACTACTACTTATGCTACTTATACTACTTATACTACTACTTATACTACTTATAATACTTATGCTATTTATGCTACTTATACTACTACTTATGCTACTTATACTACTACTTATACTACTTATGCTACTTATGCTATTTATGCTACTTATACTACTACTTATGCTACTTATACTACTTATACTACTACTTATGCTACTTTTACTACTACTTATGCTACTTATGCTACTTATACTACTTATACTATTACTTATACTACTTATACTACTTATACTATTACTTATACTACTTATACTATTACTTATACTACTTATACTA